AAAGATCCCCCCAGTGGTCCAGTACTCTCCATTTCAGAAACATGCCCAATGCACCCTCTCTCAAAAAAATATGGCACTGCTGTGGCTGTATCAGTTAACTTAACATCTAACAATGGCTCAGGTTTCCATACGACATCAGAATAAAAAGATTAAATCAACACCCATCATTCTTCATATCATGTAATACGACACTGAGATATGACCTAGTGAATAAATATGGTAGTGTTTGATATCAGTAGGTAATAAGAAGCAATGTCTACAGTTTATTAGCGGATAGTACAGATCACAAAGCTACAAACACATTGAGCAGGTTTGGAGCAGATAAGCAAATATATGTGTATACGAGCGAATACAATGACGAATTTATAGTCACATTAAAATAAAGGCACAGTGAATCAAACTACAGTTTGTTTTTATAATACAAACATATATATATGAGGGAATGAGAATAATACATCGAGCTATATTTAAACGATCAAGATTTGAGTTCGACAGAAATATGTGTTGGTTGTTATAATCTTCCAAATATACACATTTACTTAGGTATGATAGCAATTCTACTGATACAATGAAATAAACGATAACATTATCAGTCAGAATTGGGGGAGGGGACTTGACAGGGATTAATCGTTAAATTGTTACTACATGTATCGAACTGATCAAAAATTGTAATGGAAGAAAGAATTGATGTTGATTATCGATCCAATATGAGAATAATTTATTCAGATACTTATTAGTCAATCAGTTACAACGTAGGATCAGGCACATATGTGCATCGATCCAAGTTGCCACACCTCATTAGCACAGCAAGATGAACACCAAATTCATAGAAGCAATCAACTCAATGGTGTAATATATAAAAGAAAGATTGCATATAAGGAGATAGTACATGACAGAAGAATTAATTCATAGAAAGAAAGATATGAAGCGACTTTACTCTGATAGTTTAAGGGAAGGCAGAGTGAATACACACACACACTATTGTGATCGATTCTGAGCCATGTCACACAGTCTCCAACCATTGTTTACGATATTCACGCGGACACAAACCAAGTAGTCTGCACCTACCAACATGGCTCAGACTAAAAGTTAGTGATTTCAGGGACTGATGCCACGTTTTGATTTGGCCTGCCCTAACCAAATACTAATCAATCTAAATGTAAATATTGATTTATAATTTAACTATTTTCTATTGACCGATTTTTTATGAAACTGTTAGTTTAACAAAGGTTACTCTTATTTTTAATTATTTGTTATATAAATTGAGATTGTTATGTTTCATATTTGGTACTGTTTTGTATATACAGGTCGTACAAAGTTTCACTAATAATAAACGTGAAAATGGAGATATTATTGATTGTACACTTAGTGGACGAGGTGAATGGATTTATTGTGTAGCTGATGATCAATCATTGTATTGTTTCAGTGTTAGGTCTGGTGGAAAATTAGAGCATACTTTACATGTAAGTTAATTCAAAAGGTACAGTGATTTTTTGTAGTTAGTTTTAGTCAATATAACAGCATAGGTGTAACGGAAAGAGAACGCTGGGAATCCCCCTCCACAGTGTTTTTTGTTGGACAGTATTGTCATTTACTTGTTTCTTCTCTCTGTCATGTATTTAAACCACACCCTTTGTTCTTCAGTCTTTATTATGTGATTTTGATTAAAGACTTATCTTTTATTACTTAATTTTCTATAGCATGTTACCGGACTATTGACAGTAAGGTTGTGTTTAACTAAGCTCAAGGTCACGGCGTGGTTCAGTGTGTGACTGTTTGCTGAAATCCGTGCAGATAGATATTTGATCCCATCTTGTTGGGAATATTTTTATTGATTCTCAGCGCGCTACTTTGTGTTAGAGAAACTTTTGACTGTATAGCACAGGCTGTACCGTTTGAGAACTGTAACGACCAAACTGCCAATTTTCGGCTTGAACGCAGGACTAACGAATTAAAATTTATTCGAATAGGCCAGATTACGTTCTTCTGTATAGCGTACGAAGCATTTTTGAGATACTTGTTTAGATTGAGCACAGAGTTTGTGTTTTGATGTAATTTAATACGAGTATCTCAAAAATGCTTCGTATGCTATACAGAAGAACGTAGTCTGGCCTATTCGAATAAATTTCAGTACGTCAGTCTTGCGTTCAAACCGAATACTGGCAGTTCGGTCGTTACAATAGGGTTGTAGAGTTTTATTTAAATCACCAATCAACGTGAGTTAGAAAACCACTTTGAAACAAGAAGTGTTGAACAGCTATTTGGTCCTAGTATGGAATTCACCCGCATCCGTGAAACAAACTAAGAACTTTCGATCTCGTACATAAACACTTAACATCTAAACCACTGAACCGGGATCCAATAGTGTACAAGTATAACTTTAATCAATTCACGATATTGTACAACCATCTCCCATTGTCTTCAATGGGTACCTTCCTCACATACAATAAAGCTGAACTTCACTGGTCACAGCTTCTCATTAGAACTCCGGGAATTTCCTCTCGAAACTAAAGAGTATGCTAGTATAGAATCGTGGTGATTGTCTGTAGTCGCGCCTACAAATATAATACGATATATTTACAATTCTTTATACTTTTAGGTTCATGATAAAAGTATTATTGGATGTGCTCATCATCCACATCAGAATTTATTAGCAACATATGCAGAAGATGGTTTATTAAAGCTTTGGAAACCTTAATTTATCGTTTAAAAAAGTGTTTTTTTTGTACAAATTTTTTTTCTATTTTTCAAAAAATAAAAAGCTTACTTCACACTATCATTTGTTCTATCTATTTATTTGAACACATAAATATTGGTACAAGAAGGCACCAAAATTTTATTTGTGTGTGGGCTGTGATACTGCCCGGGTACCCAAACCGAAGCAGGTGGTTTTCTTAGGGGGCCACACCCGGAACCTTCGACCTGAACGTCTTACCCACAATACAGTAGAGCATCGTGAGGAGATGCAGTCCCATGGTAGCCGGTGACCAACGATTGGTTCATACGCTATTTGTTCCTTCAGGATACTGGAGCCAGCCCATGTACACCATTGGTTTGGATCCGGTTATAGCGCCGGACATTCGCTTTTTGTCCTCTCATTTTCGTTAACAACAGTAATGCCACGAGAAGGCAGTGAGTAGGACCTCCCTGGCAGACGCTGTATACGCGTGGCCGTGTGAGAGTATTTCGAGAGGGAGGGCGAACCCACCCAACTCTCGGCAATACCAGGGCATTTGAGGGCATCATTTGTTCATTACCAGCATAAATACTTAATCCTTTGATTCAGTTATTAATTGCGATAATCTGAGTTGTTCAGTATGTCTTTCTATGTTTAGGTACCTCAATTATTTTATCATCAGTTCACTTCTTATATTCATAACTTGCAAGAGTACGTATCTGTAAGCTTTGTGGGTTGTTTTCTGACATAGTCACTTTTTCCAAGATCTTGTTTTTTCTCGTTTCGCTCAAAGCATAAATTAAATGGATCTTGAACATACAAAATATATTAACTATTCTATGACGCCTGTCAGCACTTACCTATGTCAAAAAACATCCCATAGATAGATCCTGAGGATAGCTCGTCTATTTAGCTTCCAAGAATACATCAGTTTTATATAAAAGTAGTCGATATGTGAGTTGTCACAAATATGATTAGATAAATAAGATTAGTTTCGTCTGTAAATTTAGTCATGTTCTTCGTTTTTATCAAGGCTTCATTGATGTGAAGATGAAATGCTTTGAAGAACTTATGTTCTTATTGTAGATGTAATTCTTAGTGACTGTCTTAGTGGAATGTATAGTGGTAACTAGATGTCCTGTTATTATACTACTGTCCGTTTCCTTAATCATGGTGTGTGGTTTAACTGAACCTCCACAGAAACAGATATAGTGATAAAATGTATACTGAAATGATCATATTTGTGAGACGATATTTGCTAAACATAAGCCGCATGCAGAAAACTAGGTGGAATATTGATATAATGTGAGTTATTTAGAGGTTTAAGATTTTTGCGGGCATGTTACCCTTGAAGTCGATGTCTGTACGTCTCATCTTTCCCATTTAAAGGAATAATAATTTCACGAAGTTTGTACTTCATGCTTTTAATTAAACTTGAACGGAATGTATCCGCTAAGATAAAAAGAAATGTTAGTTAGACGAAGAGCTCCCATTTCGGTGTTACTATGTTTAGCAAAGACATAACTGATTATTATTTGGGGAATTAAGTATTTGCGATTGTACACTTTTGAAGGCAAATTCGCTGAAACAAACCCTGTCATATTTTTGTACATGTTTATTTTTAGTCGATTTCCATAGAACATTAGATAAGTAATTGATCCTCATTTGGATAAACGGGAACTTAACTTCGTAAACTCTTCATCCAAACATTTCAAGTGGACCTTCTGTATTTTAATATTCTTGACAGTTCATTGAATTTTACTATCTTAAATGTTTAGTCTATATTATTAGTAAATCCAATTGTTAGAGGAAATTTTTGCAAAAACGTATCCCAAATCACCTATTGTAGAGAACAAATAGTTCCCTCAGATGGGATATTTGTCGACTGTATTTGACATTCAAGTATCATGATACATTTGTTATGTTCATATACGTTCTTTATTCACAACACCATTTCGAAAATATAGCGCTAGGAACTATTGAACATCTATACCATAGTTCACTCTCACATATAGTGTGGCTATACTTATATTGTAACTTTAGCTTACAAAAGCTGAAGTAATTCACAGTTAATGTCTAACGTGTATTTAATGCATCACGTTCCATGGAATGAAATTTACATGACAAAACTGCTTATGATCTTATTACAATTGTGCTAACTAATGACAGTTACTATCACTATAGCAAAAGAATGGACTGGGTTGATTTACACAACTGTATTAATCAATGTGAACACAATTTGTAAAGCCCTTTCGATTAAAAGTAAAGATACCATAAATAAACAATAACAAATGTAATTTTCAATTCATAATAATGGAATTTATTAATCTTTTTTATTTGTACATTCATGAATTTCTGGGCCAATAATCGATTCCAATTTAGATTTAACGAGTACCATAATACATTTATGCACTTCTTCAACAGTTTTATCAGTTGCTTGAATGAAATGCCAAAGTCCAACTGAATCATTTTCATCATTATTATCTTTATTATCTAATTCAACATCTTTGGAAATTCGAACATAATTCTCTAGAACACGCTTTTGAAAATCATCATTCTCATATCGCTCATTTCCATAACCATTTCTAGAACTTAATTCATCTAAATTTCCTGGTGTTAAACATATTACTAAATCAGGTTCTACAAGACCTTTTTCCATTTCCCAACACCATTCCCAGTTTGGCGTTGGTGGAGATTTAGCAGCTGTATACGCGATCCCAGAATATATATATCTGTCTGCTACAACAGGTATTCCATTAGAAATAGCCTTCCGAATTTCAGACTGTCTTTCCCATCTGAAAAAGATCGGAATTTCATGATATAAATGTGTATTGGCTGTAATCATAATAGATCACATTGATAACGATGGCCTCAAACTAAGTAATATGAAATACACAACCTGGGATGAAACGTCTAAAATATGTAGTAATCGTATATGAATTTCGTGGTTGTGAGCCATCTAATTTACTAAAATATTCGATCAGATATCGAACTAAATGAAGCACAGGGAAAATCCTGACTTTCAACGAACAATAAGGAAGTTGCCTAATGAAAACAGTTATGTAGTTCCACGCAAGTAAGCAACTCACCCCAAAAGTAATGGAATACCACTGATATACTGCTACAATAGAATATATAAAGAAAGTAGTCAATTTAATTTTAAAATTTTAATTCTAGCGTAATTTGAGTCATACTATTATCAAACATACTATGCACACTACAAACGTATTCAAGTAGTGAGTTTAGAAAATTTAAAAGCAAGGACTAGACTACTACTTGAGACTTGTCCGATGACGATTTTTATTTTATATTAGTTTACAACCTAAGAATGCATAACATTATCTCATAAGCATGATCAGGACTAGAATAACTAGGGTTCAATTGGTATCGTAATATCAGTTTGTGACAAAAAGTCTTTTCCTTTATAACCACCATGATAAATCCGAAAAAATCTCTCGTTTACTGAGTTATTGACAAGTATTTCTCACTAGAATTTTAATTATTCGTTACAAACCCACAATACATAGAACTAAATTAGGATCGGCTGTTTGATACTGAAGAAAGGTTGTACGCCACAAGCTGTTATATCATACAAGCTGATTTAACATCTAGCTGCTGTAATCTCTGTATTTGTTGCAGGTTTCATTTGTTTAATACTTATATATTCAACAACCATAATTAGGGTCGTACTCTTTCAATTAACCCATGCTTACACGCATACGTATCTACTGTCAGGAATACATATATGATCGAGTAATAATCAGTGGTAATTAGTTTAGGTACATAAGCATCAATAGAATTAGTAATTATCAATGGAAAACAAACTCACCTATTTGCAGTGAACAATAAGTGCAATGCGTGTTTGTTAATATCACCATTCCCACTTAAATATGAATCTAGTTGACGTCCCAGAGGAGTATCCCGATCAGGGAATTTAACAGACAGAGTTTCTTTATGTGTGATTTCCGACAAAGCTTTAGCTAGAAGTAATGCTTGTGTTGTTTTTCCCACACGATCCGCTCCTTCGAGAACAACAAAAATCCCATGAGACATCGGTCTAGCCATCCTTCTGAAAGTGATTAAGATATTTTTTTATCATCAATGCTGATAAGAATATTATGATTTTTAAAACCTATTCCAAAGTTCCGATAGGCGGCTTTTTCCACGCAAGTGTGCATTTTTATGTAATCTTCCAGAGCAGAGGGATGATAATACGGGTTAAGTTATTGTTTAGAACGCTTTTAATACACTGTTACATTTTTAAGAAAAAATTCCATGTGATCATCTTTTGGCATTAACAATAATGTTAATATAGTTGCAGACACTGATCAACTGTTTTAAGTAGGCACTTTAGTATTCACAAGGAACAAGAAAAAATCGACTACTTTGTTAGTTCAAGGCATTCAGAAAACTCAATTTTTCTATGTGCGACGACATTTAGCAATCTTAAAGGAACTATTTGTGTAACTCAATAAGTTATTTTAATGAAAGCTTTGGTATGCAGAATTTTGTAGGTGTAGATTACTAGAATAAGGAAACAACCCTTTCAACGCTTTAGCCCCAGTAAAGGCCTGAGAGATAAAGAAAACCTTCCCCGTTGTGAGAAGACTGTTTAAAAGTTATTGCTTGAGACATTTTGATACATATCTGAATATAATGAAGTGCTGAGAACTTACGAAAAAAAAGAATACCTTAAATACCTACGACTATATAAGGACAGGCGACAAACTGAGGAGCTTCAAACAGTTATACAAAAGCTACCTATATTGTGGAATGACATAAGAGGAAGTTAACTGAAATATGAGAACACTTACGTATAACACAAGTAGAATGATCAAAAGCACTAAATAAAGTTTTTGAAAACATTAGAAAGCGTTATCACTCAAAGCTACTCAGTTCTGTGTCTAAATCCATGTCTATTAAAATAGGGCAAAAGTTGAGCATAATTCTAGCTAGGTTTCCTGGCTAGCCTGGAAAAAAGCTGAAGCGCCTTTCTTGGATGAAATGAAATGTTATAGCAAAAAATTAGACAGCAAGAGGAACTGCACTGTATGCTGTGAAATCTAGAAAACTTTCTAAAAGCCTAATAACATGCAGCATGTGCAATTTATCTCAACGCCCCTTAAATTTATTGACTATTACATATAACGTAATAAAAGAGTACTCTACTACTGGTTTCATGATGATGTCAAAGCAAGTTGAATTCCTCTTTGCTGTTTACAAAAGAAACGTTAGAGTAAATACTGACGACGAACACTCACATTCTCGAACTCAACACGTCAAACGTGATTTTTACGCAATGTAACTGACCTAATTTATGACACAGAAAAACATACTCAAGATCCACCTAGTGAAGCTAACCGTAAATTAATTTTACAGTTCTTTATGAAAAACATTTGACGTTTTAAATTTTATTTGAGTGCGTTTATCAATTATGCCAAAACATACCACAGCCGCGCTATTTAAAAGGGGTGGTTGTAACGGAGCAAGAATTATCATAGTGATGTTGCTAACCCGTTCTGTTTTCTTTATATTTCAGGGCGACCAATCATAAACGCTTTGGAAGCTGTAGAACAAGCCCTAAGTGCTCTGAACTTACAGGATGACTTATAAGACTTAGGTACACTAGCCACCCCTTTTCCTGTCCCAATCAACCAACAAAAGGGGAGATAAAGGCGAAAAAAAGGAAACAACAACCCCCAAGTATTTTAATTTTAAAAATAAAGAGTGCCGTGACGGACTTCGTGTTCTTTCTTGGTGTGAAGTGTTGAGCTAACCCGGTGTGTTGTAATTTTAGATCTGATCCGCTGTTCGTTAACTGCTGATTACCAGCGTTACTTTGTTTTAAAATCAACACTCTTACGTCAACCTATTTTATCACCAGCTGGAAAAATGGTCAAATTTACGTTCATGTAGTCATTGAATTTAACATATTATGATGTTTTTTGTTAAAGAACCGGACCAAGCTGTGAATTTTGCTCTGATTGCAATTTTTAATCGTCACGTACGACTGTATTATGTCGTGCGTGCATTACATGCTGGGATGATATCCTAATTCAAAGTAAGTTTAATAACATCGTTGATTTCTTTTAAGTGGAACGTCGATCAATGTTACCGGAGAAATTTTTGTTATGCTATAAACTATGTTTTAATGAGAAAGCGATTGTTGTCTTCACTCAAAAAAATATCGTTTGTCTTTTGTTAGTTAAGTCTTCAGTCAGTCAGTCAGCTATAACCTAGGACCAGGTACATATGTGCATCGGTCGAAGTTGCCATAACTCATTAACACAACAAGATGAGCACCGGATTCATAGAACTAGTTAATTCAATGGTCATAATACATAAAAGAAAGATTTCATATAAGGATATGGTACGGCAAGAGAGAATGAAATCGTAGTGAGAAAGATATGAAGCGATTCTGAGCCATATCACTCAGTCTCCAACCATTGTTTACGACAGTAACACGGACCGCAACTGACATTGCTCTGACTAGGAGTTAATGACTTCAAGAACTGATGTTATGTTTTGGTTTGACCACCCCTAACTTTCTTCCAACCATCCTCAATACCACTTACCATTGCACGTCGCGGTAATCGGTGTTCAGGAATACGTAATACGTGGCCCAACCATCTCAAACGATTCAAAATCACAATCATCATTCTCTAATACTCTGCGTCTAACCTTAACATTACTTACCTGGTGATTCCAGAAGATGCCTGCAATATTTCTAAGGCACCTGTGGTCAAATACTAGAAACTTACGAGTATCTTCTACTCCTAATGGCCACGTTTCTCAGCCGTAAAGTAGAACAGAACAACTGCCACGCACTAAGCTCGTCCTTTTATGGATAAATGGATATCTCACCTGTGCCATAAATGGAGTTAGTTGGCATAAGCCAAACGAGCTTTTTGAATCCATGCGGATATTTCGTTAAACATCAACACATTAGGGTTGATCAAACTTCTAAGATAGGCAACGTTTTCAACGCTTTCGACTACATTATTCCCTACTTTTAGTTCAGATGCTGACGCGGTCCTGTCCTGAAGCAAAAACTTGCATTATGAAGGGGAGTAGCGCATCTTAAACATCCTGACATCGTTGTGCAGTCCTGACAAATGACTATGAATTTTATCAGCGTCTTGATTTAACAGAACTATATCATCTGTGTATTCCAAGTCCATAACTTGACCTCCTGGAAGGAGATCAATGCCCAAGAATTCAGTCGACGAGAATGCTATTTCCATCAGTTTGTCTACGATGAAGTTGAACAAAAATGGAGATAGTGTATAGCCTTGACGGACACCACTCGAGGTTGCAATATCAGATGACAGTTCAACATAAGCTCTGACTCATCCAGTAGTGTTCGAGTGAACAGCCTTCACAAGGTTCATGTACTTCTGAAGTACATCATTCAATGACAGACATTGCCACATAGCCTCTCCGTCTATACAGTTAAACGCTATTCTTAAGCCAAGAAAAAATATCATTGTTGGCCGCTGATAATCATGTCTGTGTATTTAACCTTGACGGAAGTGAATATGTGGTCGATGCAGTCATAAACAGGTCTGAAGCCATCGTGACTTTCTTGTGTTTGCACTTCACGAGTCCCTGTTAAGCATCCGATAATTATTAAGGTTACTATTTTGGTCGCTGTATTAGTCGAACTAATCCCTCTATGAATTAAAATTACACTATATGGTGGTCAGTGTATGACACGGTGTCGTGGTATAAAAGAAAGATGCAAAGGGCTGGCTTGTGTTGGTCCTTCACGACTCCCTGGCTGGGGTCCTAGAGATGGCGTAACACAGTTGCTAGAGACGTTATCAGATATGGCTCAGAGTAGAAGCCAGTGGCGATCCTGCTGTAACCTTCTTTTACTTTCTTCATAAAAAGCGGTTGCTCCTTCCTCCCTCTATGAATTAAAATTACACTGTCACGAAACATCAGGAAATCTAATTTTTCTACTTATTGGGATATTACAAATATATTACTTTTATTCATAACAATCTACCCAATGCTCAATTTATTCGAAATTATCAAGTCAAACCTTGGTAATGATACTTGTAATCCCTCTGTGTTCTTATTTATTGAGACACTCAATGATTGCGACCAGTCACATGGGATTATATCCAGTTTCCAGATTTTAGCCACAATATTAGTCAACGTAATCGCTGAAACTAGATCACTATCCTTAAAGATCTCTGAAAATTATCCATCTTGACCAACTGCTCTTCCTTGTTTTAGATTAGATATGACTTTTCGAACTCCATCTAGGGTCGGGAGACCTAGTTAAATGATCGATTCAGGTTATCTGGGAATGGTGGGTAGTTGTAGAGTAGCTGAATGCCAGCTGAAGTGCTCCTTAAATTGTTTTGCTCATTGTTCTAAACGTCTATACTGAGAGTAGATAAGAGTATCGTCTTGTTTTCGAGATCGTCTCACTTTAACTTGATTTATTAATTCCTGTCTTTTTTTATTAGTCTGAAGAGCTGTATCGTGTTACCTACAGCCGCTTCCCTTTCCATCTGTTTTGCTTTCATTGTCCACCACTGCTCACGGAGCCTGATGGAATGAGTTTATGCGAACCCATTAGTGCAAAAGACTTAGTAGAAGTCCATTGGCTTTTCGTAACCGTCCGATTTACATCTCTAACAGATGTTACTGCTGTTTCCACAGCTGTTTGTATATCTTTCCAAGCAACATCTGGGTCAGCTTCATTTTCAGAGCTACCTAAGTGTGACCTCAGTTGTTTCTGGAACCTACTTATAGTTTTATCATTCTAATGGGTCCTTTTGTGATTTTTCTGAGTCCAGTGAAGCGCAAGCAAATGCGTGCTGGTATTAGAGCACGTCCGGAGTCCAAGCAGGTATTCCAGAATGAGCGAAAATCTTCTTTCGACCCTTTACAAGGATGACTAACGACAATAATAATAATTATAATTCTCAAATAAAAGTTTGTTACATGAGGCATACCAGTTTGGAGGCAAGATCAAGTTGTTACAAAGGATAAAATTTGGTCTATTTGAGTCCATCGTTGGTTTCGTGCAGGAGGTCGCCATGTGAGACGATGTCTCTCCTCATACTTATGATGACCTCTATTCCGTGATTTTTGAAACTACACTTTTATTCAATATCTGTTGTTTTTCTGTATCACTTATTTAAAAAACGATCATAACTGTTCTGATAAATTGAATATACTTTTCGCTGCCGCGCTGATTGAAATATAGCGTGTTATCTACGTCGACTGCCCTTCTTCTTTATTGGCCACGGCCTTAGACCGAAGACTATGATAGTATTATAATATCCTTTTAGTTCTTCCTACACTACGTTGGTATTTTGGCCCGGATTACTATTACATAATACCATTGGACTCTGTCTTTCTCGTCTCGCCGTCGGTGCCATTATTCACAGGGGGATCTACGTTAATCAAGTGGACTTATTTGTGGATGTCACCACAGAGAGCAGCCTTCAAGTAACATTCATTCCTTAATAATTGTTATTACCACATTGCTCAATATACTATTTGTTGGTTGGTTTTTACTTGTACAAAGACACTTGAGGTTTTTACTGTTAACTTTTATTGGTATATTATTATTAACTTAGTGTTTAGATATATCTTGTATTATCTCTATTTGCTGGGCTCCATTACATACTTAGAATTAGTGTTTACTAAAAACAAACGATTATCTGAGCACAGTTGCATCAATTGATCAATATTATCTGTTCGCTGAGCTAAAATTCTAAAATGCCCACGTATATGTCACTCTGTTTGGTTTAAGCTACCTACCTGGGCATCAAAGTCACCTCCTACGAGTACTATGTCTGAGCATTTAGCATTCAGAAAGCTTTCTGTAAAAGTCGTCTTTCACTTCGTTCGGGCTGGAGTCAACGGGAGAGTAGGCAGAAATGATGATAAGGCAACGACGTGTGTCCAGATCCTTACGAGTTCTTACGGAATCGTTTAGCCGAACAGCACATAAGTGACCGTTAACAAGAATCAATTCTAACAGTGCTTGTTCTGTCCTCATAATTAGTGCTATGCTTACACTCGTCAGCCCACGAGAACTTGTCGTCGGGTTGCCAGATAAACGGAGCATGTCTTCTCGACTCCCCGTTTTGGCTGGATGAGATCAAGTGAATGACCACACTATTGTTATGTGTTTCGGTGACACAGCATGCTCCAATGATACGAGATTCTGGGGTCTTAGCCAAAGATGCCTGTTGGCCAATGATGACACAGGGTGCTTAAGTTGAAAGCTCCAATGTGTAGTTTGGAGCGAGGTTTCAGTAGACCTGGGACAGTGTTTCGCGCGCTAGAATCGTTGGCTATGGTGAAACTTGAGGAGGAAGTCAAAAGAGGAACTTTAAAGTTGAAAGTCGACATAGCAGGAGTAATA